GTATTTCATGGTGTATGTATACCACACTTTGTTAATCTGCTCATGAATTGATAGGTACTGGGTTGATTCCACATCTTTGCACTTGTGAATTGTGGTGCAGTAAACATTGGAGCACAGGTGTCTTTGATAAAATGATTTCTTTACCTTCAGGTAAATACCTGTGTGATTGCAGGATCTAATGACAGGTCTACTTTTAGTTCTTTGAGGAGTCTCCCTACTGTTTTCCATAGAGGTTTTAGTAATTCACAGTCCCACCAAGAGCATATGAGCATTCCTTTTTCTCTGCACTCATGCCAACATTTATTGTTTTGGGACTTTTTAGTAAAAGCCATTCTAACAGGGAAAGGTGTTCTGGTTCTTTTAATTTGCATTTATCTGATGATTAGTGATGTGGAACATTTTTTTTTTACGTGTTTATTGGCCATTTGTCTATATTCTTATGAAAAGATTCTGTTCACATCTTTTGCCAAAAACAAATAATCCCATTCAAAAATGAAAGTTGTGTGTTTTGAAATCTCATCCCAGAGTGAAGTTATTAGTCTTACTTGCCTCACTTTATGCCACCTCTCACTCAATTTAACATAAATATTCACAAAAGTACATTGCAATTTAGCTCAACAAATCTTTATTGAGTGCCTCCTGTAAGCAATATGGTGATATAGGAAGGTGAAACTTTTGGTTTGGTTGGAATACAGAGTATATGGGAAGTGTAAAAGCAGAAAAAATTGGAACTCTAAACTGTCATATTGCACTAAATGGATACTATAGAGAGTTTTGAGCCCTCGGTTTTTGTAGGTTTTTAGATAGTACAGGATAACTGATTTTATGAGTTGTTTTTGGGTGGTACAGAAGGACATATTTGGCTGACTTGTACTGTTTTATTCAAATACCTTTTGCTGATGTTTGTTTAAATAGGTGATCCATTTCTCAAATGGAAAGTACTTTCATCAAAGTGTACTAAACAGCATTAGAAAATATTCGCTACTGTTGAACTTTAGTGTTAAGTACACTTCACATGAAAATAATAGCTCAAAATGCACCGGCTAAGGAAAACAAAACTCTACGTTATTGGCCAGATGGACTCAGGGAGCCTATATTCCTCACCATGATGCTTATACACAAAGCAAAGACTGTTTTAGTAATGTTACTTAAACAAAAGGAGGAGAAAAATATTTGCCATTCTTCTAAGGAATGAGTCAGCTGTTATGTTAGCCCACTGTTTAATTCAGGGCCTTGATATATTTAGATCCTTTGTCAGTTGGAAAAATAGCCCTGAGAAAGATGTAGATGTGATGTTGAATATTAACACCCTACCCCAGGAATCTAATTAGATAAGAAAGTTTTCTATCAACCATCCAGTCAGGCCAGTATCAGTAGCTAACTGTTTGCATCACTCACTTTATTTGGTGAACCCTCCAAGAACAGCTCAAATGTTAGCTTTTATGGAGAAGAGAAAAGATCTCTCTCCTCCGTTCTCACTGATAGGCTCTTCTCTCCTTCCTCTTCTTCTCCTTTCCTTCTCTCCCCGCCCCATCTCTTTTTGGAATATATGCCCTTGGTACTAGTAAACCAAATAGTTAAAGCTGACGGACTGATGAATTGCCCTCTGTGTGTCAGCAGGACTAGTTCTCTATTATTAATGGCTAACAGGATCCCAGTAAGCTTTTTGATATACAGAGCCAACTATGTGCAGATAAGCTATTGATGGATGCAAAAAAAGGAGGGGGAATGAAAATCACTATCAATTGAAAAATATGGGATTTAAAGTGTGATATGGGCCCTTGTGCTTTTGATAAGGGCCATGTTTTATTCTGTACAGTTGGTCAAAATGTGGTTAACCCAAGAATTCCGGGATTTTTTTTATAAATGGAGGCATTTGTCAGTTACCTGTTTTTTGTGTGTGTCCATTTTGCAACTAAAATTAAATATACTGTTCCCAGGTCATGTGAGTGTTCTGTCTATAATGACCTTCTTTGACAAAAAATGAAACCTCATGATAGAATGAGTTCCCTAACATTAGAGATAGTCAGGAGGAATGGAGATGACAATTGTTTGGGGGTCATGTAATTAATATTTCTTTATTGTGTTGGAGTTCAACTAGATTAGAGTTTCCCAGCCTAAATTTGATGGCTAACCCGTGTATTTTAAGTATAGAACACAAAATGGGCTGACCTAGGAGCTAAAACTGCCATCATTGAGCAAAGCGGGAAGGAGGGAGTCAGTGTCACAGAGTAAAAACTTGTTTGGATATAGGGAAATTTTTTTATTGATAACCTTTAATGCCCCTTCTATTCCTGATTTTCTGAAATTTATAGTGAAAATGCAGGTTCAAGTTATTAACAGTTGGAACTGTACTGGATTCTGAACTAAACTGAATTCTGTCTTTTCTTCCCCCAAATTAACGGTTTGGTAAAAATCCCTTAAGAACAGATGCCAAGAAGCTAGCCACCACACCATCACAGTTGATACAGGTTTATGGAGAGATTGGGTGGCATTGATGTCAGACAGAGCCTGTATCTGTGCAGACTGCTGAAGGGAGTAATAGTCAGCATTGTCCAGGGCACAAGTAAGTGAGAGGGCTGATGTCAGGGATCAAGGACTAAGGCAGCAAGTGCACTTCTAAATCCAATGGAACTTAGTAGGCCGGTTGTGGTGGCTCACTTCTGTAATCGTAGCACTTTGGGAGGCCAAGGTGTTTGGTTGGATGACTTGAGCTCAGGAGTTTGAGCCCATTTGAACAAGAGTGAGACTCCATCTGTATTACAATCAGAAAAATAATCGGGCACTATGGCAGATGCCTGTAGTCCCACCTGCTTGGGAGACAAGAGGATCACTTGAACCCAGGATTTGAGGTTACTCTGAGCTTTGATGACATCATAGCATTCTACCCAGGTAACAGAGTAAGACTTTGTCTCCAAATAAATAAATACAAATAAAATGAAATGAAGCTCAGTGCCTATGGCTCAAGTGGCTAAGGCGCCAGCCACATACACCTAAGGTGGCAGGTTTGAATCCAGCCCAGGCCCGCCAAACAACAATGATGGCTGCAACCAAAAAATAGCTAGGCGTTGTGGCGGGCGCCTGTGGTCCCAGCTACTTGGGAGGTGGAGGCAGGAGACTCGCTTGAGCCCAGGAGTTGGAGGTTGCTGTGAGCTGTGATGCCAACGCACTCTACCCAGGGGGACAGCTTGAGGCTCTGTCTCAAAAAAAAAAAAAAAAAAGAAATGAAATAAAATTCAGTGGAACTCCAGGCAGAGAAGGCCAGCACCATGGACAGCTCTTCAAGACGGTGGTGCAAAAGTAAAGCCCAGGGGCTTGGCCTGAGAGAACTGTTTTCAGGTCCTAGTTTCACCTCTTTCTAACTAAAGATGTCTGCTATGGAAAAGTAATTTACTTAATACAACCCTCAGTGTTTTCATCTGCAGCACAGTAACACCGTCTGTTCTATATAGTTTTCAGGGTACACATACTAAATTGCAAGTGAAAGCATGTCTCCGTGATGCAAATTAAAGATGTTAATGTGTTTTAATTAACCTTTCACTTCGAATCATTGCCTTGTATATACCCAAGGTTGTATTATGTTAATGAAAATTGCTAGCTTTCTCTCAAAGTTTGAAACAAGAATTAAATAAACTGAGAGGAGAAACTAGAATACTGTAAGCATATGTTTACTTTATTGGTGAAAGAAGGGAATGAAGATTTATTGTATAGATACCACATAGGTTCAGAGACAGATGCCATTTAATTTTTATAACCACTCTGTGTACCTCACAAGGAGTAGAGAAATCCCATTCCTTCTGTCAGTACTGATGTGTGAGATGGGTGACACATAACATGACACCCCACATGCAGGGTCAGACTCTCAACTTTCCCAAGGGTGATCTCTTCTGAAGGTTTTCCTGATATCAGGAAGCAGGAATAAAGGGCAGAGAGAAAGTGAGGGTAAAGAATGCAACTCAGACCCCCAAAGGGGATATCAGAGTATCCACAGCGAGGTGATTAAGCCAGGTATCCAGGGGCCACTTTGGAAGGAAGTAGTGGATCAAACTCACTGGGATCACCCAAGTTTTTGCTGAGAGTACTACAGGTTGGCCATTGGTGGAATCCTTAACCAGCTGCTACTGAAGGAAATTAGAAATCACTCTTTGATATCTGTGTACAATAACTTAAGGTACTACAATGGCAACTTAGGAAAAAGCATTTGTCTTTATAGTTAGCATATTTTAAAGGGAATGGAAGTCTTGCATCATTGGCATTTATTATTTCTGTTTTTGATGAAACCAAAGTATCTTTCATGTAATCCCCTTAGATATTTTTATTAGACTTCATTATTTCAGAATGATTAACTTTTTATGAATATAAATTTTACATGTTAATTGGGAAATATAAAATGTTTGGTAATGGGAAATGATTGAGTAGCAAAGAAATGCCCTTAACATTGTTCAATTATACCTTGTCATGTGTACTTAAGGATGTAGACAACTTTTTGAAGCAGGGAGCTTTGGAAGACTACTATTGATGTTCTTTTATCTGAATGTGAGCTGGGATGAGTTTTTTTTTTCCTTAACAGTTTGATAGATGTTTGTGATTACCTGTTCAATAACCCATTGAGGAATAGGTTGAAGAAGTAGCAATTTTCTGCCTAGGTAGCATTTTAGATCCATTGACAGAGGGAAATAATTATTGTATGAGGCTGTTGTCCCTTAGAACTCTCAAGAGGAAAATGTTAGTGATTAGGTGGTTATGTAATGATTTATATAATAGAAGGAACACTGGGGTTGAAAACAAAAGATACAAGCTTGAATTCTTGCTTCAGTACCCTAGCCCCCAGGCACATGGCCTTTGGTAAGTTGTTTAAATCTTCTGAGCCACAGTTTGATCCTATGAAAATGAGAATCTCCATCTATGCCGGAGAAAGGTTATGAAACTGCATTAAATAATGTGGGAAATAAACTTTTAATGCATCTTCTTTTTAAATGAAATAATTAATAGTAATTCTCCTTTGTGGTTAATTTCTACAGAAAGTGAGTGAGAAGGTTGGAGGAGCCGAAGGAACCAAACTAGATGATGACTTCAAAGAGATGGAGAGGGTAAGTCTTTAGCACTTGGAGTTCTTCTTAACATAAGATTGTCCACCATAGTAAGAGGACCAGAGAAAGGGGAAAGGGAACACTGTTCACCACTGGTCTCTGAGAATGTATTTTATTATTTTTTTAAAAATACTATCTTTTTAGTGTGTATTTTAGGGCAAAAAATGTAGACTATCCTGCCTTTCCTTTGGTTTTATCCTGAGAACAAAACATCAGTGAAAGTGAAATGTCATACCGTACTTTTCCTGGTGGATTTTATCATCCCTTTTCCAAGTGAGGATACCACAGCTGGTGTTTGAATTAGGGAGAGGTGGGAAGAAAAGAGCAGGTGGAGAATGATGCCCCAGATGTTTTCAGGGGAGCTGGAGGTACTCTCTGGCTTTAGAGGATTTCCTTGACTGGACGGTGTCAGCCAAGGCAGCTGGGCAGCTTTTGAGCCTTCCAGCTTTGCCCCAACATGACTGAAGTCTACATTGATCCCAGTTTCTCATCTCTGACTGTTTTAAATACCACCTGCTCTTTGAGAAAAGCTAGTAGCCACTGATATTTATAATTCCGGAAATAGGATTATTTAACCCTCTTCTTCAGCATCCAAGTCTCCAGAGACTGACACACGGTCCCAGAATGACTTGGCTCTAACTCCTCCCCTCCCCATAATACGGGTTCATATCGGAGTTCCTCACCACCCCTCCCGATGAACAGCCCCTTGGGTCTGTTACTTTGCATTGGCCCCTGTCCATCCTTGGTGCCCCTTATTCTTTGATGCTCCTCTGCCCCTCCCGTCCTCCATCCCTCAGAGAGCATTTACAGTCTGTCATGTGGCCAGAGTAGTGTTGCTGATGACAGATGAGACAAGTACTTAGGAATTTGGAACTAAGTACTGGGAACCAGAATTTGGCTCTTGATTTTAACATCTGTCAGGATCAGAGGGAATAAGCTAGGTAGCTCATAGTCTAAGACAGACTAACTTTCTGTTTCTTAAATAAGAGTAAAGAGAATAAGAAATTTGGAAAACCGAGTAGTTTATCACTGAGCAACTAATTAGACCTTTGGAGGCTTATTTGGCTATGAAATATATGCCAATCTTATAAACTATTTGAAATAAAAAAGGATGTTTCAAGGATTTTACTTTAGGCAAATGCCAACAGAAATGCCTCTGAGTCTAAATTAAAGTATTAAGTTTATTTTTCCTAATTCATAGAAAAGATTCTTAAGCATTTATTTCAAAATGTAGACACTCCTGCAATAGAGTAAACATCTGATTGTTTGAAGAACATTTTCATAGTTCTGTATTGGGTTTATACCTAAATACATTGAGAAATCAAGATTTCACTGCAGTGCAAAAATTGTTTTAATTCACCTACTCCACATGTCTTTTGTTTTGTCGCTGACTCTGTTGAGGATTTTGTGCTGTCTACCATGCTAAATTTACACTTGTGATATAAAATTTCTGTGGTAACTGAAAAGCACTGTGCTTTGGATTCACACTCTGAAATCTTTTTTCAACTATTATATATTATTTAAAAAAAAATTTTAGCTCAGTGTTCCCAAGCCTACAGAATAATCACCTTTCCGTAGTAGGTTTTCTGTTGATCAAGCATTTGGGGTAGAGAGACCTTTGTTCAGTTATATTCTCAGAGGTGCAATTAGCCAGCAAAGTAGGTAAATGAGAGATTTGCATGTAGCAGTACTAGGGAGAGCGAGCAGTGGGTTTTCCCAGAGGTGTTTGTCTAATCAGCTGCCCCAGCACTTTCCTGCTGGGCTGCAGGAAAATCACCTTGCAGCCTCCCTGATGTGCTGATACTGAGGCCTCCTGCTGCTGTGTTGTCTCCAGGATCCCCGCCCATGATGATTGCTCTCTTTCTCTTAAATACCTTGCATGGAATTGTTTCTGTTTTTGTTTTAAATATTGTGTGTTATTTGCAAGGATTGGTTTTTTTTTTTTTTATTTGTTTGTTTTTAATAGCAACAGGGGTTTTTTGATAACGGGAATTCTGAAATTTGATAGACCTCTGGTTCCCTCTGAAATTTCCATAAATTGCTACAGGGATTGTGTGTGTGCGTATGTGTATAGTTACATTCATTAGTTCACCTAGAAAATCTGTAAATGCCTTCATGTGCTAGGCATTGTGGCAAGAAGATTAAGGCATTGTCCCTGCCTGCAAGGGTCTTGCAGTTTTGATGAACAAAAAATAGGCACATAAATGAGGAGCTTACGGGACATGGTGCTTGGTGTCCATGGAGACCAAGACCTAGTAGAGGCACATAACTCAGACTGAGTAGGTCAGTGGAAGCTTTCTAGGAGAGAGAGTGAGCTAAATCCCAAAGTTTTCTCTTGTTCCTGCATATATATATGGGTAATGCGGAATTCCAAGCCAAGGGGTATAGTATCTATTCGGAAGTCTGGAAAAAGTGCCCTTGGAAATCTTGTCTGTTGAAACCAGAGGGAATCCTATGGTCAGAAACATGGCTATAACCCCTTTAATAAAAATGAAATTCTTCTTAAGGGGAAGCCTTGAGTTTTAATAAGAGCAAAATGTTGAGAAAGAGTGCCATTCCATGTGACAGTGCAGAAGCGAGGATTGTTGGTAGAGTGGGGCATGGAGAAACGCCAGTAGGAAGATGTCCGGGGCCATTATCATCATGCACTCCATCAGTCACTGGGTGCAGAGCGGTTTGATCTTTCTAACAACCCCAAGGAGTAGAGCTGGAATAATGAGTAGAAACCACGGGTGATAGACTCTAGCTCAATATAAGAAAAAACTGGGGGCTGTTAAGAGCTGATTTAAAAAAAATAACAGGAATTACTGAATGCTTTATCACTGCTCATGTTCAAAGAGAAGCTGAACGCACAGTTCCCAGCTGTGGTGTGAAGCATACTAGTCATCTCTTGTGAGTTTCATGGTTAGTAGTTTGTTACTAATAATGTCACTTTTTAATGGCGTCACCCTTATTGGATTCTGATGATCTCCTTCCAATAGAAGAGATAGGAGTCAAGTTCCAGGCAGCGTGCTCAGAGTGACCATAGCTACGGGTGTGCCTGACGCTGGCCCTACCCACAGATGTCTCCCTCGTGGTGTGGCAGGAGAGGAGGTGGGGAGCAGGATCACTTTTCTAAGACACCCACCCACTGGTGTGCAGTCATAAGACCCCCAAACAAGATGAACTTTAACGACATCTTTCTGCTTAGCCTGAAATTCAGTGATGACAAGCTTGTTCTAAGTTACATGTTTACAGTAAATTTCCAAGCTTCTAATCTTAAAGGTAATGGCCAAGATTCGCCAAAAAATACAGTGGGGATAGTCTTAGCCTAATATCTTGTTTATTTTTGCTTTTTAGCACACTGTTTGCTAATCAGGCTTCCTGAATACATACATGACTCTTGTAAGCAGGGCAGTTTGGGGACAGGTACATTAACTCTTCTCAGTCAATCAGGAGCTGTTCAAAACATTCTTGGACCAGCCTGGGTCTCAGTGCCAGTCAGACGTTCCCAGGATGCTTTTGTGTCATGTCCCTGTGATTGTTGATTTAGTTGTTCTTATTCAGAGTTCTCAGTACTTAAAAGTAGGTGTGTGTTTGCAATTCATACTTGCAATTTCTAAACTTTAGTGGTAGAAAAATTAAAAATTTGAAAAGGCTTTAGTGTTTCATGTCACATCTTGACACTTATTTTAGGTAACTACTCCGAGTTACCCCATGTCGAGTGGGTGCTTCATTTACCTGTTTGTCAATGATTGTTAAACCTGCAGACTGTACGTCATTTACGGGGTCTCATACTTTCTTACACTCTACTCTGCTTCTCTGTGACAGCATCTCTATAATGTGTGACTGGCAGCATGAAACAATACCTTTCAGCCCTGTTGTTGCTCCACAGAGAATGTCATGATGTACACAAGTGCTTCTCCAGGGAAGAAAGGTGACATTCAGGCACCTCTGGAGCAATAACCCCATCCCGGTCCAGTTAGTGCCTTTCTGTTCACTAGCATCTTGTCTCTAAGGACTGGGACAGCTGGTGAAGTGGCCAGAATCACCCACAGAGTCAACATGGCAATCCCTAGTGAAAAACTACCACCTAGAACAGGCATTGCCCCCTCCCCTTTTAAAGCATTTTAGGGTTTTTTGGGGCTAGAGGACCTCTGAGGTCTCTCGTGTCACTTCTGGCCAATGCTATTGAAACACAAAAGCATTAGCAGTGTTTAAGGGAACAAATGTGACTTCATTCTAATAAAACTTTAAGGATACTAAAATCTGAATTTCTTATAATTATGTACAATGAAGTAGAAGTCTCATTTTTAATTGTTTTAACCATTTAAAAATGTAGAGACCAGTGGTATCTGAATTTGTCCCACTGGACATAGTTTGCCATCTCCTGATTTAACAGACGAAGAAAAATGTTACAGGAAGCACAAAAGGTTAAGCGAGCTATTTTCATCCCCCTCTGAAGTTGTAAATTACAAGACTGGAAAGTAGAAAAAGAACTTCCTGATGTCAAAGTGTTGAGGGTTGCTAAAATCTTGGTGCTGAGAAAATCGAAGGAAAAACCCAGATGAATACATGCCTACACATCTATTCTTTTTCCATAAAACGTTTTATTTCACACAGTTTTTATTTCCTACAAGCTTGTCTGTACCTGTGTGTATTTGTATACTGTTTGACCTCCTTTAAACTGCCTTTCCTTATGGCTTCCCACCCTAATTCTGGGCAAGGTTAGTGGAAGATGGAGACTCAGGAGTTTATAAGAACGAAAGTTGTTGTAATTAGGGTGCATCAAAACTCATTTTCAGGTAGAAATTGAAAATGTGGGGCATTGAGGAAATAAACAGGTGTCTGTCCTAAGTTCAAAGTGTGATAATAAACTCTTGTTAGATACAGTAATTCTCATGCTAATTTTATCAGTCCTATTGATAAGAAAATATATTCTTAGACAGTGCATGTTTAGGTCTGTAAATAATCCTAGCTAGTGCCTGAAAAGGTACATGCAGGATTCTCACAGGGTTGTGGCCCTCAGCTTGGTTATGGCTGACACAGTGTCTTTTAGCAAAACATTCCTGGGCATTTTTATTGAGGACAGCAATGGGGAGAATTTAGAAATTGGTCAGCCTCCTACTGGCAATGACTTCAAAATATCAAATGAAAAAAAATCCAATGGCTGTTGGTATGGTATTCTTATTTTTAGAACCCTTCCAATTCATAACCTTGGTAATTATTATTCTTCCCATAACAATGCCATTTTTGTGAGACCTCAGGGAGCTCATTTCCCTTCTTTAGGCCTTAGACTTAGACAGCTAATAAATTAAAGCTTTGGACTGAATGCTCTACTGGTCTCTTCTTCTTCCACTTATTAACGCTAACAATTAATTATCCATCTGAGTACACTCAAGGGCAAGGGCCTAGTGAATGAATTTGGCAAAAGCTGACTCCTCTTTGGTGTACGTCTTGATGGTGAAACACACAACTAACTGTATTGAATAAAGTTGTTTCCAGAGGTGGATTTCGAGTGAAGGTTATTTTTTACTCTAACGAAGCAGTTTACATAGAACTTGTCCTGGATTAGGCAGCCACAAGTAGTGAAAAGAGCCTTTCTCAATGGACACAAAGTCTGAAAAGGCCTGGGTGGTCTGGGCTCCTTCCTGGGAGACTTCAGTCAAGCCATGAGGTTTGCTGGGATAGTTTTTATTCCTGCTTCCTTTTGGGGATGGAATCCTAATCCAGGGACCAAATGTAATATTGGTATCTCTGTGACTCCCTTAGATCACTAGCATTAGCCAAGCTAGGGGCTCTATTCACAGAGCCTGAGTAGCTGGGCTCTGTATTCACAGAGCTAAATGCAAAAAGGGTACTCTCACCCCTAATGAGGACTAGTTTTCACAGCCTAACTTGCTGATCTCCCCATGGGTCAGGTAAGCATGGCTGGCACCCAAGCTCCATGAAAAGGCCTATAAAACTGAGGATATGTGGTCCAGCAATTTGCATGAGAGAGCTCCCCTTTCATAGTCCCAGGGTAGAATATTCTCTCTTTTTTTTTTCTTTTCTTTTCTTTTCTTTTCTTTTCTTTTTCTTTTTTTTTTTTTTTTTTAGACAGAGCCTCAAG